GAGCAGCTATCTCCCCACAACCCTGGATTCCCGACTCCTTCATTTGCAGAGCTGCAGAGGCCTGATTGCCGCTGCCTGAGGGTTTCATTCAGTAAATCGAGGGACTGGCTGTGGCGTCTCAGATAGTGGCCACGCACACCGAGCCCCAGGGACGGCCAGGAATTCTCCACTATATTCATACATTGCAGGGCTCAGAGGTGGACACCTCTCCCTCGGGGGCTCCAGGTGCCCACGATGTGCCTTTCATAAGCTGCTACTGTTTTCCGCCCGGAGTCCAGGACTTGTGGACCTAGCTGACCTTCTCAAACTACTCCATCTCTCGGGTCGAAGGGCCTGAGAAGGACCTTGAAAAAAAGCCCTCAGAGGTGCTCAGGTCTGGTTTTGGAAAAAGGGGACAAGGAGGGCAAGGAGACTGGTAGGGACCATAGATTCCCGCTCAGCTTCCATTAGTCTGGCAACACCTATGGAACTGTTCTGAGATCCGAAGACTGGCTTCTCCCTTCGAGTGGAGAGTACCTAAAAGTGCCGGGCAGTAGTTTTAGCCAAGGTCACCCTTTGTCCCTTCCTCTCTCTGGGAAGCTCGGATGGGGGAAAGGTAGGACTGGGAGCCAGAGGGCCTAGGCTGTGAGGTTGACCTCTCTCCAGACAGCTGGACACCAGCTTGGGACATTCGTTGGAGATGTCCAGGCAGTGGCCAAACTTCCAGGCCAGTACCAGGATTCTTTATATTTTCCTTTCAGCCAGATTGAAAATTAAGAAGCCATGTTTTCCAGGGTTCTCTCACAGGACAGGGAACCTCCCCTCCTCCACCCCCACCCCAGCACCATCACCACATAAGCTGAAATCCTGAGAATCCTTGTAGTGTCTGTAGCCTTGACACTCCAGGTTGGAAGAGACATTTTGCTCCCTAAATGGAATCCTTTCCTCCAAGTGAAAGACAGAACTTCCCCTCAGTCTTTTTGGGAAATCTGGCTGAAACTTTTGGAAGAATATCACTCCCTCCCCCAAGTTATACCTGCTCTGGTGTTGGGTGTGGAGAAAGCTACGCATTTAGAGGCCAGAAGGGTCTGCCTCCCCCCACCATTCCACCCCAACTCCAGGTGAAGATCTCCTTGTCTTCTCAGTCCCTTTGCCTCCATTGATCCTAATACCAGCTGCTGCCTTCTTCCTTTCGGAAATCAACCTCAATCTAATCCTTCTGATCTGAGAGCTAAGAATTGGAGAAAGACAATTAAAACAAGAACAGTCATAATGGTATTAATAGGAGGAATCGAAGAGCACTGGAATTGAAGACAAAGGCCCTAGGTTCCAGGTGCTTTTTAACCATGTGACTCTAGGCATCTAGGCATCATTTGACCTTTCTTGGCTTCAGTTTCCCTATCAGGAAAAATGGATCATCTCTAGGGTTCTATCTAGTCAGCCTTAAAAATCTATGTGATGGAGATAATAAAGCAGTTTTTCTGCCTGAGAGTCTGGAAAAGCCAGGTTGGGGCGGGGGGGGGGAGAGAGTCAGGGAGAGAACTTGGTGGTTCAGGACTGAAAACCCCAGTCATCTGGTGCTCCAAATACTCTCTGAAGCTGGGCCTGGGGTCTTACTAACCCTCACTTGTTTTAAAAAGCCATGGGAGCTCCCAAGGAGGCTGGCAATAGGGTTTATAAACAACCCCTCTCCCCCACCCAAACCTGAAGGTCATCTTCAGCCCTCCAGCCTCTGGCTATAGGGCCTTGTGACTACTGGAGAAGGAAAGGCCTGGTCTCAGGGTCATTTTCTCAGAGGGAAAAAGGTTAGCATTAGGGGCCAGGAAGAAAGATCTCATTTATCCAAAGGATTTTTCCCCCTTTGGCCTATAAACAAAACCACATAGGAGGCCTCTTTGATGAGGTTTTGTTTTTTATTTTTAAAAATTCCTATAGGAACTGCAAGGCAATCTCCCTTCCTCCACATCCCCCTTTCCTGATCCAGCCTTTCCAGCTGAACAATTGCTAGCAGTTTGCTAACAGATCTCTGAGCACCCTCAGAAATGCAGGCTCCATTTAGGGGGCACATCATCTGCCCCTTTGAGCCAACACCAACCCAAGAGACACAGTGGATTTCGACTAGAAGTTCTTGCAACCCTAGAGGGGAAAGGGATTATGGCGTATGTGTGTGTGGGGGGGGGGTCACTGACCCCAATCCCATAAACTGACTATCTGACTGATAGAAATGGAGAGATAAAGTGTGTGAGGGTAGGTTAGGGGGTTTAGAGCAAAATCTGTAGACTTGCTTGTCTCAGCATTCTGGTGGGAATTCTTGGGGCATGTTTATGCACTTATGTGTGCATATTCCTGGGTACAGGGGGATAGAATATAGAAATCTAGATAAATGGGACTTAGTGTAGACAAACGGCTCTGTACTTAGAATCATAAACTTCCATAACTGGAAGAGATCTTTGAGACAGGCTAATTCAACCACTTTAATTTCTCAGATGAGGAAACTGAAACTGGAAAGGTGGAAACAACTCCCTCAAGGTTACAGGTTGTTAGTGGTAGAGCTGGAAATATAGAACAGAGTACTATTCTTCCAAGTTAGTTCAAGCTACACCCCTGCATAATCCCATTCCCATGGCTTGTTCCTTCAGGGAACTGAGTCCTTTTGCCAGGTTCTGTGGAAGCTTTCTGCATGAGCAGGTGGCATGAATTTATACTGGATGCCCACTCAATTGCAGGTACCCGGGGAAGATTAAAAAGGAGACCAAGTCTTCGTCTGACTAAGTCTCTTGGTAAGGGTAAATTGGTTGGGGAAAGATGGAAGGTCAGAGGACATTTGGGCCCTAGACCTGACTCCGTTCTTTCTTTCCTTCCTGAGGAAGGAAAAATATCTCTCAAGGTCAACTGTACCCATCCCATATATGTGTATGTGTATGAGTGTGTGTGTGTGTGTGTATATGTTTATATATGTATATATGTATATAGATGGATAGATATGTATGTATGCATAATTTTAATATATTTGGTTTCTTTCCATTGTGATTTTATGCATTTTATTTTATGAATTTAAAACATAACTGAGAAAGGGGGCCATAGACTTCATCAGATTGTCCAAGGGGTTTAAGATACACAGAAAAGATTAAGGACCCCTGGCATAGGAGAAAAGAATACAACCCTGACCCCTTTGGAATGCATGGCTTCCTTCCCCATCCTCACTTCTTTCAGAGATCACTCCAACTGGCAAACTGATAGCCCAAGACCCCTTGCTTGGCTCCTATGGGAGTACTTCTCGTAGCAGGGTGAGGGTCTCTCTCTGGCTGGAATTAAGTCCTCAAGGCCACTGAAGGCCAGTCTCAGGAGGGAATCCTAGAAATGACCAAATTACACTTTCTCATAGCCTTTCAGACATCCCCCACAGAAAGAGGGAGATGATTCTGTGGAATTCCTGCCTAGCATGCTCCCATATAGAGGGCTCCCCAAGAAATAGAGGCCTGGGAACCACAGAGGATGAAGGGGTACTCCATGTAGGACACAAGAGAGAGCACCAGACTTAGCCAATAGAGTCCTGTTTCATTTCTGGCTGGTCCAGTCACTTCTTAGCCCTTTGACCTTGAGCAAGTCAGTCCAGCCCCCTGAGACTCAGTTTCCTCACTTGTGAAATGTAATTTAAAAACTTGAAAGTCAAAAAGAGACCTTAGACACCATCTCTTCCAACCCTCTCATCTCATAGGTGATGAGACTGAAGGTCCCAAAAACAGAAAATGACTTGCCCAAAGACACAGGCAGCTAAAAATGTGTGGAAGCAGAGATTAGACTGAGCACCTGGACAGCTGAGTTCTCAGGGCCTCCTACTAGAGTGGGATGACCTCACCTTGGGGCAGTTATGAGGAAATCCGTTTGTAAACTGTGAAGAACTGTGAACATATAAAATGAGGATAATTATGATCTGGAAGAAAAGAAAAGGAAATGACTTGGCCTTAGACAAGGGTCAGGGAAATCAGGTCCCACCTTTGGGGTGTCCAACAATTTACTCTCAGAAACTTCCCTCCTTTTGCGGTACCTTCTGGCACTATTTGAAGGAGTACAGATGGGACAAGGATTCAGCTGGAGGAAAGTCTGGGAGTAACTTCCCTGCCTCACGTTTCCATCTCCCTTCCGCACCCCAATGCTGCCTGCCAAGCCTTGCAGGGATCTGGACCCAGAGATCTCTGGTCTTTTAGAACCCAGAAGCTCCGGGACACCTAAGTGTTGGGGGTACCCCAAACGTATTTGTCCCAGAAACAGTCTCAGGCGACTTCGGGTCAGAAGTGAGAAAGAGGAGGAGGGAAATAAAAAGAAGAAAAAGAAGAAGAGAACTGAGTCACCTAGCTCGGGTTCGTTAACTTTCCCACCTGTGACATTTCCCACCTACAGAAGGGTTGGAGGCAGCCCTACTGAATTCGGGAGGGAAGCTTAACCCGAAGATCTGTGATGGCCCTGAGCCGGGAACTTTGCGCCCCTAGATTTTCCGAAGTCCCGGCCCCAAGGAAAAAAACAAAAAACAAAAAACTTTGTGCTCCCGAGATTCTGAATTCTGTCCACAGTGCCTCCTTCCCCAGAATCCACATCCGTCTCGAACCACAGGGAGGTTGGAGGCTTGAAGCCTGACGGGGTTTTTAATTCAGTCGAACCCCTGGAGTGCCCAAGCGGCTCTGGTGAGGTGGCCTGGTCATGGAATTGAGACACTATCCTATGAGGAGGCTAGGGAAAACGTGAGGACAACCAGGGAACCCAATTTTATCCAATTCATTCCCTCGTCCTTGTCCAAGAGCAAACTTGCCAGGCCTGAGCCCCCAGACCTTCACTTTTCTGCCTCTCCCCCCAGGTTTGCCTCTTCTCTCCTGCCCCACCCTTCCGAGGCTTCCGGTGCTGTCCGACTTGGGCAACCGGGACGTTCCCGGGGCTCGGGAATGGAATCCCTCCAGAGAAAGCTCGGCCCTTATCCCTCCTCGCTTTCCGCACTTCCCCAAGGAAAGAAGTACGGAGTCACTCACCGTAGCAGGAAACCTGCAGGGGTCCGTTGTGACCTCCGCTGCCCTCTGGGAGCTTAAGGCTGCTGTCCGGGGGCGTTTTGCAAGATCCCCTTTGCAGGTAGAGATGCGGTGGAGGCTGGGGCTGGGGCGTCTGGGGCGGCGGATACTTGCTGAAGGAGCCCCGCGGCCCGGCTCCGCTTTGCGCCTGGGCCGAGCTGCTCTCCAGGGGCGCAGTCGCGTCCTGCTGCTGGGGCTGCGGCGGCGGCGGAGGCTGCTGCTGCTGAGGGGTGTAGCGGCCCCGGCACTTGGCCTCACCGTAGCTCTGGCCCTTGGCCGCCAGGAACGCGGTGCTGAACTTGTCAGCCGCCGGGAATGCCCGAAAAGAAGGCGAGCTCTCGCGGCTCTGCGAGGAGACCGGGCTGTAGTAGGCGTCCATCGCGGCCGCGGGCGAGTCGCAGTAAGAGACGCACGTCTCAGCATTCATGCCTGGAGTGGGAGGGACAGAGCCGAGGGGAGGGGGCCAGCCAAGAAGCCGCCGCCGCCGGCCTTCGCAAGCGTTTGGAGAGGGAGGTGAGCGAGCGGGGGGAGGAGGAAGAGGAGAGGAGGAGGAGAGAAGGGAAAAGAGGAGGAGGAAGGAGGGGGGGAGGAAGAGGAGGAGGAGGAGGAGGGAGGGAGGGAGAGGCAATCGCAGCGTCTCTAAAAACTCTCTCTCTCTCTCTTTCTCTCTCTCTCTCTCTCTCTCTCTCTCTCTCTCTCTCTCTCTCTCTTTCTCCTTTCCTCTATTCTCTTCTTTTCTCCTTTTCCTTCCCCCCTTCTCTGTCTCTCTCCTTCAGACGGAAAAGTCAAGGCTGTAAAAATATTCAGATGTTTCGGAAAACTACCAGGTCCCCAAAAGCCCTCTTCAAGTTCCGAAGAGCAAAGAGGACCGTCTTTTTTGATTTCTTCTCTCTCCCACTCTCTCTTTCCTGTTCTTTCTCTCTCCCTTCTATTCTTCCTCTCTCCCTTTTCCCTCCCACTCCCACCCCTTTCTCCTTCCCTCCTTCCTTTCCTCTTAAAGAGATGCTGCTAGTCCAGTGGCAGAGATTCCGAGTCCCCGACCTCCCCGCTCCTCCTTTCTTCCATAGCTCCCCACCCCAGCGGCCACAGGAGGACGGTGGGCGGAGAAGGTCCCCATTGAGCGCGGGCACTCGGTGACAAGGGGGTCCCCAGTCAGAATTTTTTTTGAGGGGCGGTGTTACACGAAGAAATAGTTACCAGATTGAAAAAAAAACCCAAACAAAACAAAACAAATCTCAGCTAGTAGAGGAAATTGATTGTGGAACTGTTTTGGGGTTCTAAGTGGCAGAAGCAGGGGAAAGAGGAAGAAGAGGAGCGAGGAGGAAGATCTCTTGGGTTCCTGCCTCACTTCATCCTTGTTGGATCTTTCCCCCTTGGCTGTGGAAGTGCAGCTTCTAGCCTTTTCTCTCCTACCCCTGGTCTTTTGCCCTGGCCTTCCTGTCCTGTTTCCTTCCACGAAAGTTGGACTTGCACACATTCACTTTAGTTACTTTTTCGGCATCTGACTTAAAGGTGCCTATTAAGACTTCCCTCCGTACCCCCTTCTCCATCACACACACACAATCTCCCCGACACCCCTTTTCTTTCCAACTCGTCTCGTACCCTGTCCACGATAAAGGGCTGAAGAGAAGGAAACGGGGCCTTCTCTGCCTTGTTTCACCTCCCTCTATATATATATCTATGACGCCTGGCACTGCCACCTCACAAACTGGGGCAGAGATGGCAGGGAACTGGGAGGATGGCACAGGGTTCTCTGCCTTCCTCACTCCTTCCCCCCGGGAAAAGCCACACTCCCTTTTTTAGGCCTAGCTCTGCCTTCTATCTCTTCCTCGCCCCAACCCCCCTCCCCCCCAGCCAAGGAGTGTTAGTGATCTGACACCCGGGGTGGGGTGGGGTGGGGTGGGGGAAGGGAGCTGGGGGCCTCGGGAAGCCCTGCGCCTGGGAGACGCCAAACGTCACTGCCTCCCTGCTCTCCAGAACTCATCCCTAATAAACTTGGGCCGAAGGACAGCCGAGGCCCGGGGGCAAAAGTCCCGCCAGAAGGGAGCCACAAAGAGGCCCTACTCTGAAGGGGTGGCGGAAGGAGGGAGGGGTCCACGGGAAACCCTGCCTACAGAACAAGGTGGGACCTAGAACTGGGCAGGAAGAGGCCTTGTGGGAAGATTTCCCCCCCACACACACACCCCTTTAACAAGAATAAACCATTGACTTGGAAGAGAAAATTCCATGCGGGTCTCCCCCTGCCTTCGCCTGGCCTGTTAATCAGTGCCCTCTTCCCGCCCCCTCGGCCTCTGCTCTCTCGGACCGCGCTGTCCCCCCGCCCTTATTTTTAGTCTTCGCTCTCCTGCGGTTCTTGCGTCCACACATCTGGTTTCCATTGCGCGCTTACCTTGAAGTGCTGCCTAATAAAGATATTACGCAAACCCGCGTCCAGGGGCGCTGGGGCCGTAACCCCTTCTGTGCCGGGGCCAGGCAGTTCCTCTCCGTGGTCCCAGGGCCTCTGTCTTGCGCTTCGGGGGGCAGGGGACCTTGTTTGGGGCCAGCCTAGTACTGATGAGGCACCTACCCAAGGTACCAGGCCGAGATCCCGTCATTCACAGAACTCTCCAGGTGGGAGGAACCTTAGAACATAAAACACTGAATGTAAGAATTGGAAAAGTCTTGAAGGGTAGAACACAGAATTCCAAAGGTGAAGGGGACCTTAGAACAGAGAAGGCAACGTCAGAGATGGAAAGGACCTTCGAATACAGACCGCAGAATGGCAGAGATGAAAGAGATTTTAGAATACAGAATCCAGTATCTAAGATTTGGAAGGGGTCTTGGAATAAAGAATTTGGAAGGAACTTAGAGGATACAGGTTCTAGATGGACGGCACTTTAAAGATTATCTAGTCTAATCCTTCCTTTTCCCTTTAAGGAGGAACAAGTCTAGAAAAGCCAAATGACTTACTTAAAGGCTCATAAATAACTATTATTAGAATTAGAACCCGGATCTCCTGACTCCCACCTACACTTCAATTGTCCCTAGAAAGTCTATTCTGACAGAGGCTAATAGAGCGCTTAACAGACAACGAAAAACAATGAACCATAAATATGCTTCTCCTGTATTCTCTCTCTCTCTCTCTCTCTCTCTCTCTCTCTCTCTCTCTCTCTCTCTCTCTCTCTCTCTCACACACACACACACACACACACACACACACACACACACACAGAGTGCCCATTCCCTAAGATCTCCCTGTTTTTTCATATTGCTAATGTCTTTTTTTTTCCTGTTCTGGAGGGGACTTCCGACTTCATCTCTGTCTCCCCCAGTCTATCCACAAACATGGAGTTCCCTCCTCCCCCATGGAATTTCTGACGCTCTCTATCCCTTTCCCAGGTCTTCACTCAGTCCTCCTATGATTAAGATAGTGCAGATTCTGATGCACAACCCGGTTTGCTCAAGCTTGGAGTGGTGAGAGGAGAAGCATATTACAGAAAGGGGGTGATGGTGGAGAGAGGCGGTGGGGATACTGTCCTAGGTGTGGGTCAGTCTTTAGTACCTGGCTGCTGAGCAATCAATGCCTTAGCCTTTCTTCTTGTGACACAGTTTCCTTTCCTGGAGGTAAAGAGGTGCTTTGTTCTTTGGCTGCCTCAGAGACCCCAGAAACGAATGTGTGAGGAAAGCCTTGAAAAAGAACACCGCATCTGGAGTCATAGGGCCTAGGTTCTAATTTGGACCCTGCCATTTTCTACTACGACCTCGGGAGATGTCTCTTTACTCCCTTGGGCCTCAGTCTCCTTGTGTGTCTCGTGCAGCTCTAATTCTAATTACCCCCAACAGAGAAGCATTTGGGGGAGGAAAAGGCCGGGGGGCGGGGTGGGGGGAGAAGCCGAAGCCGAAGGGGAAGAGAGGGGCCGCCCTCAGCGCCAGACAGTAACCCGGCTAACAAGGCGTCCTCCCCGAGCAGATACAGATGGAGTCACATCTGCCTTTCCAAACCGCCTCCCGGGCTGCTGGAGCCCAGTCGCAGAGCTCAGCTCCCCGCCCCAGAAAGCTTTCAACGCCTTCCCCTCCTTGAGTCTCTTTTTATTACCTGCTTAATTCTTTGCTTATTAATAGGATTTCCCCCTTAATGCTTCCCCGTCTCCCCCGTCTTTACCCCCACCCTAGTGACTTCGTCAGAGCCAGAGCGGCGAAGGCACTGCAGTGTGTACAGCCGAGTAAAAATGCTACTCTTGGGGCCTCTAGGAAAGCACTCCCGCCGGCAATGCGTCCCCCACCCCTACCCCCCTCCCTCCGACAGGCGCTGCCACGGAGTGTGCAAGGGGCTCGGTTTGTGCTGGAGAATGGGGGGGTGGGTAGGGAAGTTGTGGCTCTGTAAACTCACCTCCCTGCACGTGCGTGGGATGCGGAGAGAGAATGAAGGGGATGAGAGAGAGGGAGAGAGAAAGAGAGAGAGAGAGAGAGAGAGAGAGAGAGAGAGAGAGAGAGAGAGAGAGAGAGAGAGAGAGAGAGAGAGAGAGAGGATCGTAGGGAACCCCCCCCCCCGCCCCTGCATGAGAGACATTGTGCCAGAGGTACCGACCTCCTTGTGTGTGTTTGAAGGGGAACGGGGAGTGTTCACATTCACATTTTTTGGTTTTGTGAGAGGCCATGAGATTGTTTTTTAATCTGTGTGTGTGAACGGAGTCGAGATCATATACATATGCTGTATTTATGAGAGGCTGTACGGGAGAATTGCCGATGTGTGTTTATGTGCACGAATGGGGATGAACATGAGCATGAGAGGCGGATAAAGAGGTATGTACAAGTAAGAATGAGGGTGCTTGGGTGCTTAAACAGTTCCTTATGAATGCTTCAGAGGCTGATTTCTAGAGAGAACGGTACGTGTATGAGAGTGGAGACTACACATGCACCTTACGAGTGCAGGGGCTTCAAGTGAGGAAACGAGGTGAGTTTGTGTGCAAGGGCAAGGGTGCAAGAACCCAGGTTCGGAGGGGGGAGGGCGTGAACAAACAATTGGGACTGGGCGTTGTGCTTGCTAAAGGATGAAGGTAGATAGGGAGGTGGCCTGCGTGCGCGTGTGAATTGGGTTTTGAACAGTTGCCCGGACTGCACTCCAGGGTCGCAGCGCTCGCCTGTGTCAGGACTTCGGGGCATCTGTCCAGATACTATCCGGCTGCCGAAGGGGGCCCTTCTTCACCAACTTTCCGGAGCTAGCCTTTTAAAGACCAAATCCTCGAAGTCGTTTATTTCTTTTAAAAACAAACTCAAGTGCTGCCGGAAAGGCCACCTTACCTAAGGTTCCTGGGCCCCTTCCACACTGCAGGTTGTGGGCCCTAGGGAAAATAGGTCAGCCTCATTTCTGGAGGTGAGATGCCCTGGAAACAGGAACTCTTTTACAGCTGCTGCCAAATTCAGGCTTCCACTCCTTGCTATTTCGGCCCAGCCTGAAGGCTAGAAGGATGCCCCCTGTCTTTA